GGTATCGTACTAAAAAAGGAAGGATGAGGAGAGATGATGATATTATTTTTGCTCGGAGATTAAGAAAAGGGAATTTGGCAAAATAAGGAAAAAGGAGGGGCTGCGTTTTTTTGTTGACCAGAAAATGAGAATAAAAAACAAAATAATGAATTTTTAGAGCACCTCCAATGGTATGTCAATTGTAGAATTGGCAAAGCAAAACTGGAAATCTTCTCATTTGTTTTGAATGCTGTGAGAAACAAATTGCTTGTTGGAGAAACAGACTTCTCTCTTCTGCTGATAAAGAAGTGTTGATAAAGGTTGTGGTGGATGCACTACCTGTATTCACAATTTCATGCTTTTGTCTCCCAAAAGGGGTGTGTAAAGAAATTGCTAAACTCAGTGTTGAGTTCTGGTGGGGAAAGGGGGAGAATCATCAAAAAGGGATGCATTGGAAATCTTGGGGAACTGTTACATTGCCAAAACAGCTAGGTGTCTTAGGCTTCAAGGACATGATGGCCTTATTCGTAAGCAGATATGGAGAATACTATCCAAGCCCAACTTACTGGTAAGTCAGATCTTAAAAAGCAAGCACTTTCCTCATACTTCTATTCTTCAAGGAAAATGACCATCTTCTGCCTCTTGGCTCTGGACTACATGGATGAGGGTGATGCAGAAGTACATTTCATATTTCAAAATCAGAATTGGAGATGGTGCCTCTACACACATCTGGAATGATCCCTGGGTGCCTGAACTGAGAGAAAATAATGGATTGTTAAATAAGAGGAGAGAATCCCATCTGAGGGTGGTAAAGGACCAGATGGAAGACAATGGAAGAAGCTGGAATGGTGACACTTTGAGGAGTTTGTTCAGTCCAGAGGAAGTTGCCGCAATTTTAAAGGTGAAAGGGTTGGATCCTGATAAAAAGGATAGATGGTTCTGGAGTCTTGACCCAAAAGGCTTGTTCTCTGTTGCTAATACATATTCTAAACTCAGTCTGCAGAAATTCAAGGCTATTAATAAGGCTGAAGGTAGTCTTTCTGCTTGTGTTGAAATGAAAGTGAGAAAGAGGAGTTGAAGTATGAAAGTGAAAGAAAAATTTTGGCACTTCATCTGGAAGTGCTACAATAACATTCTTCCTACAAGCCAGAATCTAAAGCATAGAGGAATGGATATAGATCCTATCTGCAAATCCTGTGGAGAAGAGCCAGAAACTGTGGAGCACATCCTCTTCCATTGCAGAAGAGCTCAATTAGTGTGGAAACTTGCACCTGTAAGTTGGGACTCCATAAAAACTCCCACCTGCTCTTTTAAAAATTAGTGGTGGTCAGTGTGTTCAGTAGATAGAAAAACAACCTCAGAGGATAGAATTCAACTTACCACTTACATCCTCTGGTGGTTGTGGAAATCTCGAAACCTTTGGAAGTTTAAAGGAAAGCTAATGCCTGAAAGATCAGTGGTGGAAACAACTATGAAGGAGTGGGCTAAATTTTGAGATAACAAACTGATGTTGTAGTTGGTGAGGGAGGTATGATTCCAGGTCCTTTTGGTTCAGTGGAAAAGTACTGCCTTGGCTAACTAATTCTGTTGTAGACTGGGTGTCAAACTCTTGTAACTATGGTTTTGGTTGCTGTTGATGGTCCCTGCTCTCCTGGTGCTATCAACAATGTGATCAGAGTCCAATGATGCAAGTTTCTAACCCAGTTTGTTGTTATTCTCTTTAGACATTGGATATTCTTGTATTATTTTCTATTAGAGCACCAAATAGAGTGTCTTTCCCTTTGTGTTTTATTATTGGAGCTAGTGGGCTCTTCTGTTATAAAGACTTTGTATTTGTTTATTTTAATTGAGTAATTTATCATTTCGAAAAAAAAAAAATGCATTAGGTTAGAAGACGTCTCCAACGGTGAGTTTTTTTACTTCTGCATGTGATTATGTGGCATGGTAGAGACGCAAAACATCCAAAAGTCTTTCTACATCTGAAGGCTCTTCTAGACTGAATGAACATTTTGTTTGTCCTATTTATTTATTTTATTTTGAAAATATATACCTAATACTTAATAGAAAAATACCTGATGAATATCATGTTACTTAATAAAAAGAAAAACACGAATATCATCTTTGAGACTTGATGAGTCATTATTTTTTGAAGAAATTTTTTATTAAAATACTAAATAAATTTAGTAAATTACTAGTA